TTGGACAGTCAGTTCCTGATTTGCTGCTGTACTCAGACGAAGATAGAGTGCTATTGACTTGAATCAGGTGAGGGAGAATGGTGATGGGAGCTGAAGGCGTGTTTGAGAGAGTAACAGTCAGAGAGAAGATGTGATGGACTGCTTTGACGCGTGTGGCTGTTCTTGGTTTCTCGCTCGGGGAGCAGATCGATTCCAGTGTGATTTAGCACAGGGAATGTGCTTCAGTGAGTGGGAGAGGCAGAGGAAGCACTGTCATCACATAAACTGCAGCTTGCTGCCCAGAAAGAGTTTGATTATTAAGACATTTAATGTGGATTAGATTAAAAGAGAATAGAACTTTATTGTCCATAAAGTTGGAAATGTATCTTTGTTCCCCTTCTGTCACAGTACAACATAAAACATCATCATCATTCTGAAGGTAATAGCATAAAGTCATTGTAAACGTAAAGGCTTGTGTCATATACTGTAGTCTTTAACTCTTAATCTGGCAGATTCCCAAACCAGCCTGTAAAATAACAAGAATACTTTCCACTAAACTAATATAAGCCTTTTTAGGTATGTTTTATTCACTCCAAGGCCTTTGAGCCTTGTAATTAAAATCAGTCTCTGAATTAGCTTGCTTGAAAATCTCTCTAGTCTGTGAGCTTAACACCGGACAGTTTCACCAGAGTTTAAAACCAGCTTTTCAAAAGAAAAAAATATATATATACTATATTGCCAAAAGTATTCGCTCACCCATCCAAATAATTGAGTTCAGGTGTTCCAATCACTTCCGTGGCCACAGGTGTATAAAACCAAGCACCTAGGCCTGCAGACTGCTTCTACAGACATTAGTGAAAGAATGGGGCTCTCAGGAGCTCAGTGAATTCCAGCGTGGTACCGTGATAGGATGCCACCTGTGCAGCAAGTCCAGTCGTGAAATTTCCTCACTACAAAATATTCCACAGTCAACTGTCAGTGGTATTATAACAAAGTGGAAGCGATTGGGAACGACAGCAACTCAGCCACGAAGTGGTCGGCCACATAAAATGACAGAGCGGGGTCAGCGGATGCTGAGGCGCATAGTGCGCAGAGGTTGCCAACTTTCTGCAGAGTCAATCGCTACAGACCCCCAAACTTCATGTGGCCTTCAGATCAGCTCAAGAACAGCGTAGAGAGCTTCATGAATGGGTTTCCATCGCCGAGCAGCTGCATCCAAGCCTTACATCACCAAGCGCAATGCAAAGCGTCGAATGCAGTGGTGTAAAGCGCCGCCACTGAACTCTAGAGCAGTGGAGACGTGTTCTCTGGAGTGACGAATCGCTTCTCTGTCTGGTAATCCGATGGACGAGTCTGGGTTTGGCGGTTGCCAGAACAGTACTTGTCTGACTGCATTGTGCCAAGTGTAAAGTTTGGTGGAGGGGGGTTATGGTGTGGGGTTGTTTTTCAGGAGTTGCACTCGATCCCTTAGGTAAAAAATTCCCATAAACACTCCTAACCCTTGTGGAAAGCCTTCCCAGAAGAGTTGAAGCTGTTATAGCTGCAAATGTTGGGCCAACATCATATTAAACCCTATGGATTAAGAATGGGATGTCACTCAAGTTCATATGGGTGTGAAGGCCGACGAGCGAATACTTTTGTCAATATAACGTATTTATAGCGTTTAATGTCCAACTGATATGAACATGTTACATTTATGGCATTTGGCAGACACTCTTATCCAGAGCGACTTACAGTGTGATCATTTTACACAGGTAGGTGAAGGCAGTGTTAGGAGTCTTGCCCAAGGACTCCTATTGGTGTGTAGTGCTGGTCCAAGTGGGGGGGATTGAACCCCAGTCTACAGCATAGAAGGCAAAGGTGTTACCCACTACACCATTACCGACCATCCATTTTGTGATACCAATTTTAAGAAGTTAAAAAATTCTGATGATGTAAACTTACATAATTTCACAGGGTCAAAAATAACAAGTTCCAGTGGTTTTAGTTCAAAAGTCCTGTTCTGACTGATGTGATTATCTGAGTTTAAGGAATGTGACAATCACACAAACACAATATCTAAGCCGCTTATCCTTCTGGGTCACGAGGGGCATTGGAGTTTATCCCAGCGGTCATTGGGTGGAAGCCTAAACTTAAATAGTAGTAACTCAAAGGAGAAACTTAAGTAGTACAAATAATACAGTGCTGTGGCAATTTTTGTGTTCTAACGTTCTCCTCGTGCTAAAGGTGAGGTTTGGATGAATTTTACATATTTTTGTTGCATGTTTTTCACCACAGTGTTTATCTATGATGTTTTAGCTTAGCAGTTTCTAAGCACTAAACCACTAAATTCTCAGAATTTTAATGGTTTTCCTCATGACAGTCAATCGGTTACCATTTAAAACAAGTTACCAATCATTGGTGCATAGTTGCCAGTGTTTTCACTGATACGTATAAATCAGCAGGATGTCAGTATCTCAGTTTATTGGCGAAACCGGTCTGAAACAGTGCAAAAGGACACATATGTTCCTAACATATCGTCACTGTCCAAAGAAAAACAAGTATCTCAAAATAGTGACTTTACAGGAGAGACCAAAAACACTCTTACCTTTAAATGTAAGTTAATGTAAAGAGGTTTTAGTCCAAGTGATTTTAGAGCATTTCTATTGGTCCATTCATCATGAAGTGTTCACACAGCGTAAAGGACAGCTTGAAATGATGTAGGAAACTAAAAATCGACAAAATTGGAGATACATGGTTTTGTTGGACAGCAGTGATATATAAGCAAAGCAAAACTATAACATGGCATGTCAGTGTTTCTAACGGGTGAAATTAATCTGGGGGTGTTATTTTAATATATACAGATTTCCAAACTCATGTCTGTATGATTCATCTTATTAGGTGTTTAGAAATAAAATAAAATAGAAAAGTTGTGTTTTACCTTAATTTTGTAAAGTATTTTGACTGATTGTTCAGCACTGAACCAAAAAAACGTTGAAACAAAAGCAGCTGATATTGTCTCTCATGTTATGATGTTCCCTTATTTAATCATAATAATGTAAAATATCTTGGAAATTGCTAAAATATGTTGTCGTTTATATTTTTTTAACCTATACTAGGACTTTAGCACTGAGACATATGGGACATAAAATGTTGTGGCTCCCAAGGTGGTTTGATTTTTGTTGAAAGGACAAAATGGCTCTTCTTATCATTTGTGTTGTGACTCCTGATCTAACCTGGCTTTAATGCAGAGGGAGCCGGTCAGATTTCTCACTCATCCAGTTGTGTTTTTGTTATGTGCCCCACAGACTGTCCGGGCGCTGCACTTCCACACTTCCAGTTCCGCCTTTTACATTCCGTCAATATTACGTTATAAATTAAATATTTCGAAAATTGTGTTTTGACATTTGTGAATCGATTCAGAATTGTCCACGTCCGCATCGCGATGCATCTAAGAATCGAGTTCCCCCCCACCTCTAACTGTAACTCTAACGCCTTTTTATTTTAGGATCAGGGAGCAGTGCCATATATAGAATGGGTTATTAAACCATTTAAACTTCCAAGAGTTCACTGCACAGCCTTTCTCCGCAGCTTCTGAGGATTTTTTTAAGCCAGTTATGTCATAACGCTGAACAAGTGAATTTCTATATCCCAGTTGTGTGAGATGGGGCTGTCTGTCTCTAGGAGGGAGGAGGTGAGAACCCTGCAGCATTAAAAAATGATGAGCGAGGATCTCTCTGCTCTCTTTACGTCTCTCTCTCTCTTCTTCCCACAAGCCATCACTCTCTCTAACAGTGAAAATATTACGATGCACAAATATTCCAACTGCACTTCTTTCATATTTTGGTCTATAGTACACACCGATCAGGCATAGCATTATGACCACCTCCTTGTTTCGACGCTCATTGTCCATTTTATCAGCTCCACTTACTATATAGGTGCACTTTGTAGTTCTACAGTTACAGACTGTAGTCCATCTGTTTCTCTGATACTTTGTTAGCCCCCTTTTACCCTGTTCTTCAGTGGTCAGGACCCCCATGGACCCTCACAGAGCAGGTACTATTTGGGTGGTGGATCATTCTCAGCACTGCAGTAACACTGACGTGGTGGTGGTGTGTTAGTGTGTGTTGCGCTGGTCTGGATCGTGTTGACATATGGTTTCTTCTTTGCATGATACAGCTTTATATTGCGTTTGTGGATTACACAGCGAACTGTGTCCTGAGCCCATGCAGTGATTTCCAGTACAGAATCATGCCTGTTTTTAATGCAGTGCCGTCTGAGGGCCTGAAGATCATGAGCATCCAGTATTGACCGTCGGCCTTGTCCCTTGCGAACAGGGATTTCTCCAGATTCTCTGAATCTTTTGATGATATTATGTACTGTAGACGGTGGGATGTCCAAAGTCTGCGCAATTTTACATTGAGGAACATTTTTCTGAAATTTTTTCACAATTTTTACACAGTTTTTCTGAGATTGGTGAACCTCTGCCCATCTTTGCTTCTGAGAGACTCTCATTAATACCACTTACTTTTCCAGCCTTTTATCTCAACTTTTTTGAGATGCGATGCGTCAAGTTCTAAATGAGTTAATGTTTTTCATGAAATGGTAAAATGTCTCACCTTCAACACCTGATATGTGTTCTGTGTTCTATTGTGAATAAAATATGGGTCTATTCTGTTTTTATTTACATTTATTTACATTTGACCCAACTTTTTTGGAATTGGGGTTGTAATATAGGACATATACTTTGCACAATACAGGGTTTACAGGTTCTTCTTATTTTGTTTTTTTGATTCTGATTCTGATTCTGTCTGTCCCACTTTTATCCCTCATCCCCGTCTTGACGACTGCATGCTATATTTTGTTTCGGCATCACAATAGATTGCAAATTAATGACTTCAGAAGTTATGGTCTGTTCTAATGAAGGTAGAACTGTTTTTAGCCTTTTGTTTAAGGCACAAAAGCAGCTCTGCGAGGATCTTGTCTCTGGAGATGATGTAACGGACGTTAATTCTCCATGTGTTTGTTTTGTTTGCGTTTAGGCCGGCTGCCCTGGACAGAAAACCAGCAGAGCTCAGTACCCTGAACGACGGCTACCAGATCCGCATATGAAGGTCCACTGCAGCTGGACTGCACCCTCTATCACCAGGCCAGGCAACTACCTTTCCTTCCCGACAGTGTGTGTTTTCTTCCTGTAGTCGACCCCACAGATGCTGTCCAAAATGCTGTGTTAGGTGCTTTACAGTATAAAAAACTGGAAGATCTGTGGAAACACAGTGTTCGCTGTATGTACTGGGACAATGACGTCAAAATGACACTCAAAACATTTTAGTTTTATGTGGTTTGTTTAGTATGTAGCACGTTTTGAGGTCAGAGCCTTTTCCAGGTAAGCATAAATATGATGTATCTGAACTGGACAGTGTTTCATTTGGTTAAATGCTGACAGCTGTACAGTCGTACCAGTACATATGGACCACACTGTACACAGGCCAGCCTTTCAGACAGCAGAGGGGTCTGATTTTAAACTGTAGAAAAGGTTAGAAACAGGGCATCAACCCTGAGATCAGCACTCTCTACTGATCCTTTTAAACTTTTGGAGAAATTTTAATGTAAATGGAAAAACTTTTTTAAGAAACTCTCCACCTGACCACGATATATATATATATCATACATGCTTTATAGAGCATTATAGAACATGCTTTTGTGGGGAGCCGCACTGGTAGGTGAGGGAAAGGACGCCCGAAGGCTTGCCTGAGGCCGCAGGGCTCGCGGGAGACGGACTTTTCTACACGGAGTGACTCTTTTCTGGATTTTATTTTGGTATTATTATACTAAATTATTATTAAGACAGCAGTTTGATTTAGTAATACCACCATGTATTCCTGAAGGAGCATTATAGAACGGTGTAGGTCACGGTATGAAGAGGACATGCTTGAATGCTCGATTTTTTTTTTTTTGTTGTTTTTTCAGACAACAGTGTATCAGTGGTGGGATTTTACAGCTTGACCTCCCTTTTTCCTTATTCTTTTTTTGTTCACATTGAAATGCACAGAGAAGACCGTCAAATTAGCTTCTCTGACAAAGTACCATATCAGATCATGCATTATTTAGCGAACCTCAAGCCTTTGTCACACCAAGTTTGACTTCACTGTACTGGTGAATAAGCTATGCACGCTCGACAGGCCTAATGAGGGCCCTGATCTGTCTTCCCTGACAGTAGCCGAGCTCAACAATGTAGCTAGCAGTCTGTGGTGGACTAGTCCAGTGGTTCTTTGTTTTTTGCCTAGCAGCCATAAATCTGTGCTGACTTGAAAAGCAGCCAGAACCCGATTCTACCTGGTGTTAATGCCAGCTTTATCCTATCCTAAGACCTGCTTTGCCCAAACAGTGCAAGAATGACTGGGGAAAGCTAGTGGGAACGAGTTGGCATTAGCTGACTTGCATAATGCTCACTGGTTCTGATTGGCTTGGGTAAAGTATCCCTTTTCAAAGCTACCACACAAGTGCCAGACCATTTGCAGCATTACACTTGCCTTCTTCCTCACTCCATTACCTTGATGTATTCACCCCTGAAGAGGTTACACAACCCAGCGCTCCACACTCAGCAACCTGGACAGTGATGAGAAGAAAGTTGGCCCTCATGTCAACACTGTTACTTCATACCTGAGAAATGCTGCACTTTCGCAGAATCCTTTTCACTTCACATTAGACGTCAAGTAAGTGGTGCGTGTTCAGGCTGACAATCACGTTCAAGCGAACACAAAAAGGTCCTGGTGACCAGAAGGCTTGAGCTGGGGCTGAACGATTCGTGGAAAATATCTAAAGCTACGTTCACATTACGAGCCTCATTTCTCAAATCTGATCTTTTGCTCAAATCCGATCTCTCTGACACGATGGTTCACACTTGTTTAGGTAAGTGATTCAAATCTGTCATTAATGTGACGAACCGGCTTCCTGAAATGACCCTCATGAGCACATCCTACTCAGTAACATCACGTGAATGAATCACGTTCATCATCAGCACAAACTAACGAGCAGAACGAGCTTCGCTGAGAAGATCATTAACTCTGATCAGCTCTCAGCTTCATTATTAGAGCGAGACGAAGGAGAAAAAGGTGAGATGAGCTGCTTTTCCACCGTTTACAGGCTTTAACGTCTGTTCAGCGCTGCTGCCATGGTAACGCTGATTGATGGCGCAGTGGGAAAAAAGCACATGAATTCCGATCTGAGCGTCACATTAAGGTCACATGGCCACGAATCAGATACGTATCCGATCTCAGACCACATATGAAAGTGGCTCAGGTCGGATTTGAAAAGATCAGATTTGTGTACACACAGCTCTGAAAACATCAGATCTGAGTCACATTAGGCAAAAAATCAGATTTGTGCCACTTCAGCCTGGTAATGTGAACGTAGCCTAATTGCGTTTTTTCCAACAAATATTGCAAATGCAATAAAATATTCTTTTTATCAAACTGCCAGTAAGCTGTGGTTGTGATGTCACAACACAGAGGTTTGGTTGCCTCTGATTGGTCTAACTCACCTACAGGCAGTTCCCAAACTCTTATTAGGTTCCGTTTCCCCTCTTAAAACCTAAAGCAACGTTTTTGCTAAAGTACATACTTAATAAAGATGGTTCTTCAAGGGTTCTTTAGTAAAGACAGTGGTTCTATGTAGAACCATTAACACTCAAAGAATCTTTGCATGCTCAAATGGTTCTCTGCATGGTGAAATAGTTCTTCAGAGTGATGGAGAACGTGTTGTATATGGTTCTACATAGGACCTTTTTGAAAGGAGTTCTCTACATGACCAAAATGTTCTTCTGTTGTTACAAGCTGGACATCAACAAGCAACAAAGTAACAGTACCAGAACCCTTTTTGATGCTGTACAGAACCACATACAGCACGTTCTCCAATCTGAAGAAACTTTTCACAAGGCAAAGAACTTTTTATGCATGCAAATGAGTCTGAGTGTTCATGGTTCTGTATGGAATGACTGTCTTTACTAAAGGACCCTCTTTTTAAGAACCTTGAAGAGTGTCGGCTATAAATTGCGATTTTGATATAAAAACGATTAATCTTTCAGCCCTAGCCTGAGCTGTTTCTGAAAATGCTACGCGTCCTCCTCGAAGGTGCTAAAAAGACGGCATATCCTTGTCAAATTCTTTTAAACGTTCACTTTTCTGTTGAATTTTTAGTTCGTGTATTTTGTTGACGTACTGAGAAAACTTTATAATTCACTTTTTTATAGAAACCTTTTCACATCCTTTCAACAATTTGCAAGTTTGGTAGCTGAAAATTACCTCTACACGTTCTGTGGAAAACAGGCTTTTCAAAAAAAGGTGTGATGCCATTTTTCTTTTCGTGACAGTCGGTTGTTATTTTTCTTGTTGATTAATAAGCGAATCAGAAAGGAATTACTGTAGCACAGCAGTGGGTTTTTCACCTTCAAGTGGTGTTAAATTATACAGAGTGATTCAAAAAGATTCATCTGATTTCAAAGTGATTTATTTCACTTGTAAATCATTACAGATCAATGCAGTGAACTGTAAATGGTTTAAATGAGCATAAAGTTTATTATGTAATTGTACAAGGTCTCAGTATGAACCTCCTCCAGCTGTACAGACAACATCAACACCATAGTCAAACTCATCCCATACTGGATTGAGCATGTCGGGTGTCGCTGCACTCACGGCTCTTTCAGTGCGATTTCGGAGATCATCCAGTGTTGTGGAACCAACGACGAACGCTCTGAGCTGTTGGAGCTTCACTGCCCACGAAAATCACACTGCACAGTTCTGACGGATTCACTCTTATTGAAGTGGAGAACGCAGAACGCTTTCTGCTCGGGGGTCTCATCTCCTCTCAGACTGAAGGAGCCATCTTCCACTGACAGTCAGAAACTCTATGACCCCCTCTTTCAATTGGATTGTGATTGGTTCCTCGGCCCCTCACGGTTGGAAAAATGTGGCGCTTTGAAATCGGATGAATCTTTTTGAATCACCCTGTATTTCCATGATGGACTTCATTCAGAGTATCATTAATTTGGAACATTTGTCTGTTATGACAGGTGAAATCACTACAGTGTCCAGTTATTACATCAATCAGAAAAACAAAGCGAGTGTTTTAAATGCACTACAGGGGAAAGTAGAGATTGCACACCTTCACACTTTTACCATTCTGGAAAATAACACCCCCTTCTGGTCCCTGAGGTTTATTTCAGCACCTTTTTAATGTATTTTACTGTAGAAATGATTTGTGTAACTGATGAAGTTGAGATTCAAAGTTTGCTGGAACGTATGGAATGATCTCTCTCTGAAGCCTTAATATGGCTTTTAACAGTTTGTCACCGACCTGGGCTTTAATACGCCTGTTTTTCTGCAGTGATTTTCTATCTTCAGAGGAGAGTGTATTCCCCCTAATAATTTCTTGCTGTACCTTGATGATTTTATCAATTGTAGCATGTTGTAATAATAAAAGTATGTTTTTCATATTTCTTTGCATCTTGACTGATCTTGTTTGAACCTGTTTATCATGAAGAAAGAATACACACGTTTAATAATTTCATGGAAAACCAAATTTCAAAGGTTTTGAAGTAATATGCAAAAACACAGCCAAAGTTTCAAAACATATCACTGACCATCCAGTCCATATATGCAAACCATGCTCTGATTCAAAAATACCAGCTCTCCACCTCTTCATATTGAGGTTATAGTGTACCAGCTCTGTGCTCTGAATGAGGCACAATACAGTGACGATAATCAGAACAGAGCTTATACACCGGTCAGGCATAACATTATGACCTTGTTTCTACACTCATTGTCCATTTTATCAGCTCCACTTACTATATAGGTGCACTTTGTAGTTCTACAGTTACAGACTGTAGTCCATCTGTTTCTCTGATACTTTGTTACCCTGTTCTACAGTGGTCAGGACCCCCATGGACCCTCACAGAGCAGGTACTATTTGGGTGGTGGATCATTCTCAGCACTGCAGTAACACTGACGTGGTGGTGGTGTGTTAGAGTGTGTTGTGCTGGTCTGAGTGGATCAGACACAGCAGTGCTGCTGGAGTTTTTAAACACCTCAGTGTCACTGCTGGACTGAGAATAGTCCACCAAACAAAAATATCCAGCCAACAGCGTCCTGTGACAACTGATGAAGGACTAGAGGATGACCAACACAAACTGTGCAGCAGCAGATGAGCTATTGTCTCTGACTTTACATCTACAAGATGGACCGACAAGGTAGGAGTGTCTAATAGAGAGGACAGTGAGTGGACACAGTGTTTAAAAACTCCAGCGGCACTGCTGTGTCTGATCCACTCATACCAGCACCACGTCAGTGTTACTGCAGTGCTGATGATCCACCACCCAAATAGTACCTGCTCTGTGAGGGTCCATGGGGGTCCTGACCACTGTAGAACAGGGTAACAAAGTATCAGAGAAACAGATGGACTACAGTCTGTAACTGTAGAACTACAAAGTGCACCTATATTGTAAGTGGAGCTGATAAAATGGACAATGAGCGTAGAAACAAGGACATAATGTTATGCCTGATTGGTTTATATCAGCAGCAAAACAGCCTGTTTAATTCTAAGGGGTGAAGAGAGGTTGGAAAATGACCACATATGACCAAAATGAATTATGACCATTTTTGGTACATAAAACACACAAATATAGGTGGAAGGTGAAAAAAAATAAAATAAGATATAGAAGATGGGCCTGTTAAAAACTATTTAGCTGTAAAATAAGTTGTTTTTAATTAAGGCACTTCATTTTACTACCTCACAGGAAGAAACAAACAGCTACAAACATCACATCACACAATGTGATGAGGCAAAACAGTGACTTGAACCAAAACCTGCTGTGATGTAACGTCGGTCCCTAAATGTAAACGTTCCTAAATCCCCACAAACATGCTGCTGATCATCTGTGTCCCTGAGAGAGAGAGTCCTTCATCTGCAGCAGGGGCAACACAGCCTGCAATAATCTGCTTACTGCACCCCATACAGGGATTTACGAAAAATTAATCGCTCATTTTTCATCTCATCTACAGAAGGAGTGATGGAACACCAACCTCTGTCCCATGTTCAGAGAAAAATACATATATGAAATAGTCAGCTAAGAAGCTCTCATCACCCAAAACACTAGTCTTGAGCGAGTATAAGGGGGAAAAAGAAAAAACAGTTGTCAGGAAAAGCTCTCCTTCGCCTTCAGTCCCATTTTGAGCTGTAAAGTACCTTTGATGCGCGCAGGCGGGCTGGCAGGGATTATGTGAGCGGCTCAGGATGAAGTGCAGTAAGCGGCGTCCTGGCAGAAGCACAAAGAGCCGAAAGCACTGACGTAATAAAGGTGGACGTGAGAGCAGATGTGATGAGACAGACGGTGGTGAAGGTTCTTCAGAATGGCAGAGTTTTACCATTGACAGCTCATGGCTGGATAAGCATCACAGCCAGAGTTGTGCCTCTAAACTGACACTGCCTGTCAAACGAGAACAAACACAAGGACACTGGAGTGTTTTATAACTTTGCTGCTCAAGTACCCAACGTGCTGGAGGTCTGTCTCAAGCTTGACTGAAGTTCTGGGGGACAGTTTTCCCTGTACAATGGTTTGGATGCACATCTACTCAGTTAGAAATGAAGGTTCTGTTCAGGTATGTTTCTCATTCATCAAGGTACAAACAGTGTAAATGTTCCCTCAAAGCTCCAACAGTGGTTTTAAGGTCTGATTGTGAACCTTAAATAAGTGTTTCCAGGTGAAAAGTTCGTATTTGTACCTTTTCATAACCGAATGTTTTAAAACAGAACAGTAAAATAAAAGCCTGGAGACGAGACGGGGTGTGTGGAGTCAGTACAGCTTAGAACATATCATTTCAGTGAATTATGGTTCAGTTATGTTCCCTGACTAAAGGTGCTGAGATGGAGCCTTGAGGGTTCCACCGAGTGACAAGAGGGGAACTGACCCAGAGACAGTTTAGCACCTTTATTTCTGAGAGTGTAAATATGGAAACTAAGCTGCATATTGAATTTGTTGGGTTTTGAGACGTGACAAAAACCAACGCATTTATACACTTATAACACTTTCACTTAGAAAATCAACAAAATATGTCACTGACTAGACGTGCACAAACTTTTGCATACGACGTTTAAATATATCTAGCTATTCAGCCACGTTAATGTTATAAGGAGTGTTTCAGCCCTGCTTTTTGAATGAGGCGTAACACGGCAACCATTCAGAACAGAGATCATTTAAATATATAAGTATTAAAAGCACAGTAACAAAAACAGCCTGTTTGAGGAACCCAGTCAAAAGAAAATACAAACCCATTTCCAAAAAAGTCGGGACACTGTGCAAAATATAAATAAAAACAAAATGCAATGATGTGCAAATCATTTAAACCCTATATTTCACTGACAACAGTAACAGAGAAACATAAACAGAGAAATTTTATTGTTTGTTTGTTTTTTTTTTTAATATTTGCCCATTTTGAATTTGATGCCAACAACACGTTCCAAAAAAGTTGGGACATGGACGACAAAAGGCTGGTAAAGTTGTGTAATGCTAAAACACCTGGTGGTTAATTGGCAACAGGTCAGTAACATGATTGGGTATAAAAAGAGCATCTCAGAGAGGCGGAGTCTTTCAGACGTAAAGATAAGGAGGGGTTCACCACTCTGTGAAGTGTTTATCAATGTAAAATAGCAAAGAACTTCTGCTTTTCATCATCTACGGTACATAAGATCATTAAAAGATTCAGAGAATCTGGAGAAATCTCTGTATGTAAGGGACAAGACCAAAAACAGTATTAGCCATGATCTTTGGGCCCTCAGACAGCACTGCATTAAAAACAGACATGATTCTGTAGTGGAAATCACTGCATGGTCTCAAACACCACTGTCTGTGAAAACAGTTCATCACTGCATCCACAAATGTAAGTTAAAACTCTAAAATGCAAAGAAGAAACCAAATATAAACAGGATCCAGTGCCACCTTCTCTGGGCCTGAGCTCATTTAAAATGGACTGAGGGGAAGTGGAAAAGTGTCCTGTGGTCTGATGAATCAACATTTGAAATTCTTTTTGGAAAAGACCACTCAGCTTGTTATCAGTGCACAGTTCAAAAGCCAGTATTCATGATGGTATAGGGGGCATTAGTGCACATGGCATGGGTGACGTGCACATCTGTGAAGGCACCATTAATGCTGAACGATATATACATGTTTTGGCAACATATGCTGCCATCCAGACAACGTCTTTTTCAGGGAAGGCCTTGATTATTTCAGCAAGACGATGTCAAACCACATTCTGCATGTATTACAGCAGCATTGCTCTGTATTAAAAGAGTCCGGGTGCTAAACTGACCTGCCTGCAGTCCAGACCTGTCACCACTGAAAACACTTGGCACATGATGAAATTAAAAATACGACAAAGGAGACCCTGAACTGTTGAGCAGCTGAAATCTTATGTCAAACAAGAACAGGAGAACATTTCACTTTCTAAACTACAGCAGTGTCTCCTCAGTTCCCAAACACTTACAGAGTGTTGTTAAAAGAAGAGGTGATGAAGCACAGTGGTAAACAGGCCCCCGTCCCAACATTTTTGGAACGTGTTGTTGGCATCAAATTCAAAATGTGCAAACCATAAAATGGTTCAACATCTGAAATGTCTTTGTAATATTTTCCTTTAAAAATATGGTTTACATGATTTGCACATCATTGTATTCTATTTTTATTTACATTCTGCACAGCGTCCCAACTTTTTTGGAAATGGGGTTGTAGTAATGGCTTCTCTGACTGCAGTGAAGAAAGAAAATTTGAAATTTTGTGTAGAACCTATTCTGCACTTAAGATCTACATTCCTTCTCTATTTTATGGATATCATGGTGCTGGAGCAGCAACTGCCAGACTGAATCGTGCAAAGGCCGACACTGAGGTCGCCTAATCTGCTGCAGTTGACTCCTTTAAAAAGTTCGGGACAGGACCTTGTCTGATTGATATTGTTAACTGTGCGTCTTCATGTATGTCTGTTCGCTGGATTTTCATTCTGAAAATGATTGATAAAAATATTTTCACAGCCTGATGAAATTCCAAGGGATAAAAGTGGTCATGTAAAAATTAAATATGACTGTTTTTGGTACATAAAGCCACACATCTAAGATCAAAATGCTGGCAAGAGGTGCTCATGCATCCTCGACACAGCTGTGACCCTAAACCAGCTGCAGAATATAGTAAGCATGAGAAGAATCCGAATGAGTCTCCAGAACTTTTCCTAGAAAGTGGCACTTCTTGCATAAATAAGAAACAGTTCGGCAGAGACTTTGTGGACAGGTGTGTAACTCCTGAATACAAAGCGCTTGGTGAGCAGACGGGAAAAATTACCTGTCGAGAGGTGGCGACTTCCATTTCTCAAGCTAAAGCATAGATGTGTTTACTAATGTGCTCATACAGACACAACCTTTCATCATGCCTAACTTCAGATAAAGAGAGCTGGTCTAGGATCAACTTTTGCCTTTCATGTTCTAATTAATGTGAATATAAGAAGAGACACTAAACCAAGTCTGAACTGTTGATAATTACAGATTTATACAATTCATTTGACTTGAAATGTACCAAGTGGAAACTTGTCATTAATGAGGGGTTTATGCACTGCAACACCACCAACATCCCCCTCCATGTAGTCACAGACGGACGAGAGTCCGATTATGTCCTGTATTCTCAGCCAGTTGTGGAACAGTTGCATTTTTTTTCCACCACGTATCACACTAGCACACGTGCATCAAGGACAATGTGTACATTTGACCACAACTTCCAGCCCTGTTTACTGATGTCTGCCTTATAGAATGCAGAGGTCACTTTGTTGTGCAGTCCTTGTGACTGAAGCTCTTGCTATACATATATAATCAATGATGAATCTTCTTTCAGAATCACTGAGATTTTTTCCTCTTGCCATCTTGAGACAAGACCAGTAAATCCATCTGAACTGCACCAGAGAGTTTGATTTAAGGACAGCCAGAAAACAGAAGTGAAAAAGTTTCACGTTCCATTAATTTTCCTCTGCTGAAACAGCAAAAAAGCCAGGCTGGGTTATACGACCGTATCATATCGTTATCGTGATAAATTATGTCATGGTTGGCTTTAATGAGCATATCATCAGTACTGTTAGCAGAACATTGACCTGTTTAATAAAAATAGGTTAAGTGTTCCAAGTGGTGTAGTTTCACCAAATGACAAGTGTTGACATTGCCATTTACTGTTTTAATTGTTTAGCCAATCTTAGGCCCAGTCCCATTTCACTCCTCGCCCCTACCACTCAGCCCTACCCCTCTGTTTTGCGCGTTCACGTTTAGGGGTAGGGTGTCCCGATTCTTGTTGAGATAGAGGGGTAGGGTGAAGTGTTGGAGCTACATGACCCTCCAAACGGAGGTTTTTCAGAGACTCCAAACAGAGAGTTATGAGAAAAAAACAAAAACCAGCAAGACGGCTGAACAAGAGACCAAAGAAACCTATAAATGTGAGAATTTTCTCCATTAAAAAATTACTATAACCATCATATTATCTTAGTTTGATGTTGTTTCAATGAATTATGGTCCTTTTCTTCCTAACAAGCATAAAAAAAAAAATAGTAATATGCTAATGCCTCAGTAGCTAGCTGGCAAAATGTTTCGTTCCACCTTAAATAGTCCAGTCTCATTTCAGAGGGAAGATTTCAACCACTACCCTGTAACTCAGTTCTAAGGGGTTAGGGTGACACTCGAAAACAAGGGGTAGGGGTAAAAATAAGAAATGGGACTGGGCCTAAAAAGACTTCTATTTCTATGTACTGTATTTGTATCCAGCTTACAATGCACTATTCAATTCATTTCTCATTGGTTAGTGCAGTGTTTGAATGTAAACACAATTCCATCATTTCCGATGTCACATTAACCTTTTCGACTCCTTGAGACCACCAGTGGTTCCAAAACGCACTTTGTCATATTCTTCATAACTTTCATATTTCATAAGCTACATTCTAAAGGTGGGGGTCGTATGAGGCTGTAACTGTCTTCTTTCCAGTCAAATAGATGGTGATGTCATTTTAAACCCTTATAATAAAAGAAGCTGAACTCAGTTTTTTTTTTCTACTGAAAGTCGACCCATTTTTCCACAAATCTGGGCTATAAACTATAAACAGATGGCGTCTCTTCAGTGATCTGCTCTGTAAACATTATTTTTATAAAAAAATACAAAGAGCGTCTAAGATTTTTGGCTTTCAGCAGTAAATTGTAAGCATAGAGCAATATGTGTATCATAAAACACATTTTCTGTTAATCTGATGGGAGCTTTTACAAAAAAATAAATAAAATAAAATAAAAATTTACATTAATTTCATGCAGTTACTGAATAATTTGCTTTACGATTTGGTCATGGAATATACCCTGGAAATAAGAGGATGAAATATTTACGAATATTTTACATTTATTGTAGTCTTTAAAACTTCAATCCTTTTTTTCAAATCTATGATAAATGATGATCCAAAAACTGCAGTATAAATGCACATATAAACACAAGGCTTCCAAATGAGAAACCTGCTGCCACACATTAATTAATTCATTAATTCAAATAAAATAAAAAATGCATAAAAAGTACACTGATTAACTCTAACACAGTTCACTGTGCACTGCACATTTTCTTTGAGTTCCAATGAAGGAGAAAGTCCAGCACCATCATGCTTCAAATGTCACAGGGGAAAACGGACAAGAGGAGACGACTCGACACAACGTCTCAGAAAAACATCCACGAGTCCACCAGCTCATGCAAAAGAAGGAATGTGAGTCAAATCTCGCTTTTTTCTCCATTTTTTTTTTTTAATCAGTCGTCCTGTGTCCACTTTATTGCAGGTGTTAAACCGGTCATCATCACACTCAGCTGTAAACCATGTTAATTAGAAGGTTCCACTGTGTAATTGAGAGGGACGATGTGTTTGGCTCACGAGTGCAGCCGGAATTGGGCGATGAGAGGCAGGTGGTCGGAGGAGTTGTGCTCGTTGGGCAGGCCGTTGACCTCTCTGAGCTCGGCCTCGCCGACCAGGGCCAGCCTGGCCAGCAGCTGCAGACCTCGCTCTGCTGGCACGCTGCATTCTAGGAGCAAAAAGACAGCGCCATGGTAACCGGCAGCCAGATGTGGATGTGCACTGCAGTGGGATGTGCTGCAGCAGACACTGCAGCAAAGCTGCTGAACTGAGGGTCACATGGCCACAGGACCCCCACTGTTAAAGCTCCCCTGACAGCCCTCAAGCACAGAATGTCTATTAGGCCTTGCAAAAAGGTATTTACTTAGCAGAAAACTGCGTTATCTGGTAACAAACGTGTGCCAATCAATGCATTTAGCTGGAGTCCTAAGTGATAAAACTCTATGCAGTATTAAGCCAGTATTAGACTATCAGTACTAGAGCTGGATTAGTTTCACCTAGACAGGTACTACTGAAGAGCTGCGCAATTCTAATCCAGACTGGATCTGTAACGTCTGTAATTCTTACAGTCCTGACAGAAGGAATGACCTCCTATAATTCAGTGAACCTGAAGCTGCCTCAGTAATATCAGTCCTGTTAGAAATGACTGATAATTATAGCTGAAAATGTATTGTTTCTATATCAGAAACGCAATTTGAAAGAAGACAATTGTAAATTTGCCAGAGTTGTGCTTTTTATTATAGCCTAAATTATTAATGATGTCGTTACGTTTTAAGTGGGGAATTAAACTGAATAACACTGAACTTGTGAACTTCCTATAAATTATTTAAACCAATCAGATGCAACTAAACCCTGTGTGCTGTCAATCTGACAACACAACCACAGCGGGCAGTCACACCATGTTAAGCAGAAAAAAGTAAATGTGCTGGTTTTCAAATAATAGATAGAAGGCCCAGAGTAAAATTTATAAAAAATAATTGTAATTTAAATCGCAGACACACTGTCTGTCAGAGAAGTTGCAATTAGATATTTTTAAATTAATTCTAAATTAATAAGAATCGCAAGTTTTGGCAAATTCTTAAAGTGACCCATCAAAATATAATTTATAAAAACAGTTTTTAGCTCAGAATTCCTTTTGGCTGAGCCACATTCGAAGCTGTTATCTGACATACGCACACATATAAGTACACATATCAACCGACTTCTGTATTAATGCTTAGGAATATTAAAAACTGTCTGTATGTTTCATGGAGCACAGACTAAACAGCCCAAAACTGTATTAAACATTCATACTGTAAGTAGCCAGTTTCTTTATACTGAGGTGCTGACAACTATATGTTCATGATTATATAACCAAATGCTATAAATTTGAAGGAATGACTGCGATATATAATGTTCATGTTAAAATGAACAATAAGGGTCATGGTCGGACTGGCTTTGCCTCAGTGTACCTCGTTAGCTTTCAAAAACTGCTGCTGTCCATCACGTCCTTCCAATCGTTTTGCACACCCATTTATGATTTCCTCACACTGTCTTGCGGATCTTTACTTTTTATGTAGTACTTCACTGTAGTTGCGCCACCATTCTCTCAAAAAGGATCCAGAACACCAACATCCTTGGCTGCATGCCTAATTTTTTAGTGAGCCTATCCATCGTTCATTTGTCAGTGAATATTTATTCAGTTTAATCATTTAGATTATTAAACATAACCTGAAAAAACTGCAAATCTACACAGCCGTTCTCCACGTTGTTATTTTTACAGAGTACAGCAACTGCTGGTTAACACCAACATGAACATTCAGGCTGTGGCTTTTCCATCCGTTTCAATCTGCTATCACTGTCTGTGTTTACATGCAAAGATTTTTGCCAATCTAATTAAATACATTCCGATTACAGATGAAGACTGAGGTGTTTATTCTCATTCTACTCAACAATCTGATGGAAAACCTCCGTTTACATTCTCACTACAAGTAATCAGATCCAAAATCACGCACGTGTGGAGAACCGCTTAGTGTAGACGTTACCAGGACTGCAAACGTCACGAGTCCAGTCAGAGTGAGACGAGCAGAAGTGAGCAGCGCTTGTGTTTTCAATTCCTTTAAAATGATGTCAGACTCAGGAAAACGTCCTTCACATGTCCAGACACAGAAGCTGGACGTCTGTCCCACCGCCGTCTTTTAAAGATCAGAGCATAAACTTCGTCTCCTCTGCAGACCAGTTTCTGCTCCGCCATGTTGAACGGTATAAACTTTCACTATGACGCGACGAACATGATCAGAACGGACTTAAACTTTCTGATAGGGAATGTAATCAGATACAGGCGTTTACACGGATATTATTCTTCTATTTAACGGATTATTTACAGGATTACCCACCTCGATCAGTCAGATAGAGACTGTATTCCAAATGGCCTCAACCGGACTAGACTATTCCGAGGTGTTTACATGGACGCTTTCTATTCTGATTGATCTATTAGTTGGATTATTAATGGATTATAAGGCTGCATGTAAACGTGGCTAATCTGTGTTAATTTGGATCAATTACACACATTTTTAATGCCCTACAAATGAACTCAGTCAAACCCCTTATAATTATGTTACAGAATGTCCTCTGGTAAAACTAATCCACCTCAAATACTGTCCGATATTGAATAATGATAGTAATAATTATAACTAACAAATAAATGGAAACATTTGTATTCAGAAGCTTTTTCTATCAATTCTACTGTTGTGTAATTATACGGAAAACCCCCTTACCTGTTTTCACAGACTCATCCTGAGTCGCAGAATAAAAGATATAATCGACGGTAATGGCCGACCGTGAATGGCAGGTGGTGATTTCAGGCTGCCTGCTCCCTTTTAATTTGTGTGCGTACGCTGATGTGAGCTTCAGACCGTGCTCAATTCTGGCTTTGTCCACACTAGAAAACAGCAAAGAGAACAAGTCATTCTCAGTGTCTGTACTGGAGGCAACGTCACCACTGTGAAGAAAGCAGCCTTCGGCTAAAAGGAGTCAGGAGTCAGACTTGGCACGAGGCACTGTGAGCAGTCCATTCATATTATCCTGACTCAGAAGCTGCACTATTAAGTCAGTTTCAACAAAGGCTGACGTGAAGAGGGGATAAACTCCAAATCCTAAGTGATTCTTCAAAACCAACAATACTGTGAACTTCACACTTCAACAGAACTTGGATTTACCCGTTTAACGAAGCTTCTTGCTCCTTCGTCTGAGCGTCTGTGTAGGGGAGGCAGAAAAAAGTGCAAGTTAGTATATTATTTTGACGCATTATTTTAAGATTAAGATTAAATGACCCGTATTAGTCCCATAACGGGGAAATTTCACCACCGCCTTCAACCCATCCATGCAGTGAAACACCACACACACACACTAGTAAACACACACACTAGGGGCAGTGAACACACTTGCCCGGAGTGGTGGGCAGCCCTATCCGCAGTGCCTGGGGGAGCAGTTGGGGGTTGGGTGTCTTGCTCAAGGGCACCTCAGTCACAGACTATCAGCTCAGAGGATCAAACCGGTTCCCTAACCTCCAGCCCACGACTGCCCCTAATTTACCTGGACATTCAACGGTTTTTAGGTTTGGTGCTTTAGCAACTTGTTACAGAATCAGACGATACTAATGATCACCTTTAGGCTGGTGTTCATACTGGCACTGTTGAGAGATGCCAAGGCTTGGGGGCCAAATGGGTGCAGTGAGGATACGCTGCCCTCTAGAGCTTTCTTCTTGTCCTGACACCTAGAACAGGAAGAGCAAGAGAGAGTCAAAAGCTGGGAAATGGAAGAAAAAGAAGGGAAAATGTCAACAAGGGCTGAGAGGTATCATAAAAATTCATCACCAGTGTACAGGACTAGAGATACCCAGTACTGGTATCAAGCAGAAAAAGAGAGATGGATACAGGAGAAAAATAACAAATATGATCCAATTCTGTAGTAAGAAATTCATGTGATAACAGAAGTCACGTGACCTACCATTAATATAAGATGAACAGGTTTTTGGATAGATATTATACTAGAAATCCTCTATTTTAAACATTTTTTCAGACATGTGCTGTGTACAATACTTAAGTATTGTTATAAAGTACTTGTTTTTCTGCTAATTAGTTTTAGAGCATAGTTTTTATTTACTTTCTTTGAGTTTAATTTTTTTATTAATAATTTTGTTTTATATTTTTCCCCCAATATGTTAAAATCAGCTAATAAACAGTAATTGTGTACTAAATGTGCAGAGGTGTGTTCTCTTTAAAGGATGTGTTAACTTGTCACATCAAAACATGTCATTACTAGGCAGTGGTGGACAGTAATAAAGTAAATGTAATTCGTTACTGTACTTAAGTAGTTTTTTCCTGTATCTGTACTTTACTGAAGTTTTTCCATTTTGGGCAACTTTTTACTTTCACTCCACTACATTTCAAAGTCTAATATCTCACTTTTTACTCCACTACATTATGAGAAATCTGTCGTTCCTTTTGGTTTATGTGTGTATAAAAACATAACATGTCAAAACGAAAGAAGCGCGAAGCAAAAACACCAATCAGGGCACAGCGGTCACTTTGTTTTGAGCTTGTTTTGACCTGTTGGACATACCGACCCACTGCAAGCATATCCACACTATACTTAGGTCACTTTAACAGGTAAAGCAGGGCGGGGTTCATGCAAACACTGACTGACAATCACACATCAAAGAATTAGTGAACAGATATAACATATGGCTCTGTGGGAAAATAGACCACAGTATAGAAATATGTACACATATGCAGTTGTGACTGACGTGTCTTTTTTCTGAAATTATACAAACACTGTTTCATTTTATAGTAAATTAGTTTTGGCTAGTTTATGTTTATGAACAGAGACCTACAGATGCAGTTTAGTAAAGGAAACTCATTTGTGAATCTGAGTTTAAAGTTTTTATTAAACTTAAACTTGTAACTAAGTTACAAATAAATCTTAAACTGAAACTTTGCTTGTTTGTAAAAAGTGATTTCAGAGCCACTCAGTTCTACCTGATGGAAACTGTTTGCCTTCAGTGTTTTGTGCTTATGATCATTTTAATAGACATCAGCGTCACTAATTAATGACATTCTATTAAAAGACTGGTTTACCAAGAGAGACACTGGAGTATTTTCACCTAAACTGAGTTAATGAAGCGAGTCTTGTTACAGAAATGATAACAGGACATCAGAGCCATAATTAATCTTTTACTATTTTCACTTTTGATACTTAAGTACATTTGAAGGCAAATACTTTTGTACTTCTACTCAAGTGGAGGTCTAAAGGGAGGAACTTCTACTTTTACTGGAGTAATATTTTACCTCTCTACTTTAACTCAAGTACATCTTTTGTGTACTTCGTCCACCACTGTTACTAGGGGTGCCCTAATTTTTGCACAAGACTGTAATTTGGACAACAGCAATGTTATGACTGTACAGGGAAATCATACTTTAGCTCCACAGCCTGCTGAACTGCTTATAAATAGTTTTCTGTCTTTCAGGATTTTCGGTGATTTTCGGGATCACCTCTTGCATCTCCTGGCGTTCCTCACCTTCCCGATGGGCATGCCCACGTACTCCAGCTGGCTTTCTTTAATGAAGCTGTAGAGAGGAGACCAGGGCACCGAGTTAAAGTCCCCACACAGCAACACAGGACAGGTGCGGCCGTCAGCTAGCTGGGCCACACGGTTAATCTCCGCTAGCAGCATGGCCAGCTGGGCAAGCTTGATGTCTCCACGCCTGGGGTTGTACAGCAGGTGCGTGTTGGCCACGCAGACGCGACAGGCCGAGCCCGAGGGCCCCACAGGCTGGAGAAGAAGGATCAGACCTACATTGTCTCGGTCCAACAGAGGAATTCCTCGCCGGAAATATTCTACAGTGTGACAGGACAGTAGGGAGAAGCGGTTGCGCTTGAAGACCACAGCACAGCCGTCAGGCTTTCGGCCTGTTCGCCTTTTGTACTCACAGTGGTAGCCTGGGGGGTGGGGGTGGGGGACAACGGCACAAAGTACATTGTTTATTTTAATTATAAGTCACAATTCACATTTATAATAAAGCAAGAGAATGCATAGTAAATAATGTGAATCACTACTGTGAATTCACTACTTATATCACTATATATACACAGATCAGGCATAACATTATGACCACCTCCTTGTTTCTACGCTCATTGTCCATTTTATCAGCTCCACTTACTATATAGGTGCACTTTGTAGTTCTACAGTTACAGACTGTAGTCCATCTGTTTCTCTGATACTTTGTTAGCCCCCTTTTACCCTGTTCTTCAGTGGTCAGGACCCCCATGGACCCTCACAGAGCAGGTACTATTTGGGTGGTGGGTCATTCTCAGCACTGCAGTAACACTGACGTGGTGGTGGTGTGTTAGTCTGTGTTGTGCTGGTCTGAGTGGATCAGACACAGCAGTGCTGCTGGAGTTTTTAAACACTGTGTCCACTCACTGTCCACTCTATTAGACACTCCTACCTTGTCAGTCCACCTTGTAGATGTAAAGTCAGAGACGATAGCTCATCTGCTGCTGCACAGTTTGTGTTGGTCATCCTCTAGTCCTTCATCAGTGGTCACAGGATGCTGCCCACAGGACGCTGTTGGCTGGATATCTTTGGTTGGTGGACTATTCTCAGTCCAGCAGTGACACTGAGGTGTTTAAAAGCTCCAGCAGCACTGCTGTGTCTGATCCACTCACACCAGCACAACACACACTAACACACCACCACCACGTCAGTGTTATTGCAGTGCTGAGAATGATCCACCACCCAAATAGTACCTGCTCTGTGAGGGTCCATGGGGGTCCTGACCACTGAAGAACAGGGTAAAAGGGGGCTAACAAAGTATCAGAGAAACAGATGGACTACAGTCTGTAACTGTAGAACTACAAAGTGCACCTATATAGTAAGTGGAGCTGATAAAATGGACAATGAGCGTAGAAACAAGGAGGTGGTCATAATGTTATACCTAACCGGTGTGTGTACGTATATATATGCGCAGACAGACAGATTTTAATACTAACATAGGTACCAACTGGTTTTTAGATATTATATTTAACATTTCAGTTATGTTGGGAAAAATAAGAAGTCAATACATGATAAATAATATACTGTAATAATGCAATTCCAACTTTCATCATAATTATTATTTGCCTTATTTGGTGACTTTATCATCACTTATAAATTAGCATGAAATTATTTCAAACCTCTAGTTTTGCACTATAGAATCATTTTATACATTTATCAGCATTAAGGTGTTATATAATTTTTCTATTAGCTGATTCCAATCTTCTGAAGGGGAACTACACCACTTTACATAAATACATACTTAAGCATGCAGCAAAGGCCTGCACTTTAGTATAAACTCTTGAAACTTGACCAATGGTGCCCTCTACTGAGCTACTCAAAGCATTCTCCAAAGCACTTTGCTTCGTATTAAATTCTGCTCAATATTAAATATTTAACCAACGACACACATTATTTAATGCATTTTATCAATTATATAAAAATAATGCAAAGTGAAAACGATTTTGATATTTGTCAAATATGCTATTTTGCTAGAGGGTGGATTTTATATACCCATGGCTAAGCACAAAATTATACGAACATTCTGAAATCCATAATTTATGATGTTCCTAACATTTCACTGCAATTTTTTTTCCCTAACGTCAAAGTCTTGTGAACACTAATTCAAGGCAAGTCATTTTTGTGCAGAATTCTCCATTAAAGAACACAATAACATCATTAAGTAGTCAAGAAATATCAAGTACCTAGAGACTCCAGCCTGGGCTTGATCTGCCTTTGGTAGTGATCTTCTTGCACCTCTTGAAGACACATAATCTACGGACACAAAGGTATTTCAGCACAATCGAGAACCACCGACCACACAAACACACCGCACACAGAGCTGCAACGTAACGTCTTGTTCAGAAAACACAAAATCTGCTTTCGAAATTGAGGTTTCGTTACTCATACTTAACAAATGATGGTAAGCCAAGTCAAAGTCTAAGCAAATTTAATATAAGTACAGACTTTGTATTTACAGTGTACAGTACTATTGTCTCTACGCCTCCAGCCAAACCACTGAAAATGTCCTTTCATGTCAGATGCCTGGTAACGGTCATATTTCTTATGATCATTTCACTGCTCATTCAAACAACATGCACACCACACTGTAAAGGAAAATGACTTACATCTGCACTGTATTGTTCCAGCTCTTTGATTATGTTGGTGAACCTGTGTCTCCACTCCAGTATGCGCGGGTTACAGTGTTTGTAAAGGTAAGCATTGCTAAGGAGCAGCTCTTGGGAGAGGATATTGTAGGACATCACAGAAAAGTCAAAGGTCTTCTCACACAAGCTGCCGTCCGACTGTGGCTCACAGTCATAGAAAACAGAGAGGTCCTCCCAGTGTCTCCTCAGTTCTGTATGGGTAAATAAAAAATCTAAGTATTAGTGTTTTTATGTACAGTTTATCAGGTGCACCTACACTGTACCTACAATCAGTGCCCATTTTATAATATATACCCTGTAGGTTCACTTTTTAGGTTTACAATTACTGACTGGAGCTAATCTATTGTTGCACACTACCAATCAATAGAGAGGGACAACCATTTGACCACTACTGACCAGGTATTATTTGGGTGGTGGATCATTCACTGCCAAGGTAGTGGTATGTCAGTGTGTGTTGCACTAGTGTGAGCGTATCAGGCACAGCAGAATTGCAGTGTTATCAAAATACTGTGGGTACTTACTGCCCACTCTGTTAGACAAACCTCTCTCGAAGGTGTGTCAGTGGTTTTCCACCAGTGGGTTGTGGTGATACTGCTAGTGGGCGCTGGCAGTCATTAAAAAAAAACAAAAAAAAACTTCTTTTCAACAGACATAAAAAACATTGTTTAGATATTTAATCAAATCAGTAACTTTAAATCCAACTCAGTATTGTTTGTGATTTTTTTGCAAAAATAAAACATCGAAAACACCAAAATATGACTGATTTTCAGTGCAAATCAATGTAAAACATTTCTCTTTTTGACTATATGATATTTATCCATAATGGAAAAATGGCTACACACCAGAGATTTGTAGGATTCTTTGGTGTTTGTGTTATGTGGTTATATGGCCATGTGAAATTCGATATGCCACAATGATTATCGGGTTATATTTGCGATCATTTGAACTGATCGGTTCAGTTAAATCTAGCAAAGTGTGGGGAAATTCCTTTGGTCCTTCACCTGTGGTCAGTTTCTGACCACAGTACCATTTTTAACTGCATGTTTTAGTTGGCTGACGATTATCAGCCCAACAGTGACAAAGTGTTGTTTAAAGACTACAGGCTGCTGCACACCAGCTGCATCAAGCGGACAAAACACTCAACGTATTTCTATTACTGTATTATATTAAAACTCAGACCTTAACAGTACATGAAATGTTGCTTATCTCAAGAGGGATATCAATCTAGTCTTTAAGGCCCAGTCACGTTTCTTATTTTTACCCCTACCCCTTGTTTTCGCGTGTTGCCCCTTGGAACTGAGTTAAAGGGTAGTGGTTGAAATCTTCCCTCTGAAATGGGACCCTCAAATAAAAAGAGCATCACTTCATTAACAGCTACCAGCGCTGCTCTGTAGGCGACCCTGCCAGTCTGCAGTGACAGCAGAGGAGGGTAAAGTTCAGCTCCTCACTGCTGGGCTTTAGTTACATTTAGGGCATCATATGCTTTCAAAGAAGGGGCAATTATTTATTATCACCCACCCCTAATTCTTCAGTGATATGAAGCTGAAGTCAGATATTCACCAGCTTCTTGTTCAAATTTTCCCGTTCAACCTTAAATGGAGCAGCAGTTACATACCTTCATTCAGCCCTGCTGGACTATTTAAGGTGGAACGGGTAATTTAGCTAGCTAGCTACCGAGACATTAGTATACTATTAGCGATTTTTTAATGCTTGTTATGAAGAAAAAGACCAAAATATATTGAAGCGACATTAAACTGAGAAAATATAATAGTTATTATCATTTTTTAACAGAGAAAATTCTCACATTTGTGGGTTTCTTTGGTCTCTTGTTCTCCATCTTGCCAGTTTTATCTTTTTTTCTCATAACTCTCTGTTTGGAGTCTCTGAAAAACCTCTGTTTGGAGGGTCATGTAGCCCCAACACTTCGCCCCACCCCTCTAAAATCGGGACAGCCTAACCCTAGATGCGCACGCGCAAAATAGAGGGCTAAGGGCTGAGTGGTGGGGGCGAGGGGTGAAATGGGAATGGATTAAGTCTTTAAGGTGGACAAATGCTAATCGTCTGTTTTCACCCTGACTAACATTACTAACCTGGCCACACTGTATTTCACGTCATACCTTTCAACTCAAAAACAGGGTGTTTAGCTATACCAAACCTGATCATTTCACTACACGACATTTAACGTTTTATTTCTGTAAATCTATAAGAGAGCTTGACATTTATCAGTGCTGGTATAGCTGTGCTTTGTACCATCTGCTAAGCGCTTTTTCTCCAGTCTTTTACTGTCCTGTTGTGGCTCCACAGCAGAATCAGATTTGTAGGTAAAAATAAAATAATCCTCCTTTATAGTAAAATAAAGCTCTGCTGATTGTTCAACACAGTTTAACAATAAATGGTTAAAACAATAAACAGTTAAAACTCAGGAGGTGCATCAGGAGTTAATGTAGAACTGCTAATTCACCCTTTAACCCTGAAGGCTGGCGAGCAGACTGCTGGTCACCAAAGCAGCGACAATTTTGCCTAGCTAGTAGCTAACAAATAGCCAAAGAGAAAGATTTAAGACCAACATTGATAATTTGGAGGCAAACGGACTTATTTGCATTTATAATCACTCCAGCTGGTTTCCTAAAACGTTTAATCTGCAACAAGAAACTGTCAAACACTTAAAAGTCATGAAGCTGAAGTCAGCGTCTCGTTTGCCAGCTTCTCATTTCAATTGTCCCGATCCACCTTAAATGGCGCAGCAGTTACATTCATTTAAGGTAGAATGGGGCAATTTAATCAGGAAGCTGGTGAATGAGAAACGACTTCAGCCTCGTAAGAAGTCGAACGCTGAGAGACATTTTACAAGAAACTGTTCCACTTTTGAGAAAAAGTTTCCTGCTGGAGATGCGAGAAAAGCAGCTATAGCTGAGCTAAAGTTTAAAGCAGAGCAAAGTAAGTCTGTGTTTTCGTTTATAATATATTTTTTAGTGGTTTGATTTTTGTTAAAACGACAAAATGGCTCTTCTTAACATTTGGGTTGCGACCCCTGGACTGAATAGATAAGAAGCACTGGCCAAAACATAAGGCACAGGCTCTTGACTGCCCACTGGTGTAACACAGAGTTCAGACATCTAATGTTTTCCTCAATATGAGAATGTATAATGTTAGAGAAGGTAAATTGCAATGAAAAAATTTTTTTTTTAATTTTCATGAGTCTCTGAATATTTGAAAATTCTGATACGTCCTTATTAAAAACACCAGTACCAGCGCAACACACACTAACATGCCACTACTCTACAGGTGTCACAGTTGTACTGAAAATGGTCCAATCAACCCAAATATTTGGTCAGTGGTGGTCCTATGGTGATCCGTTTCCATTGTGGGACAGGATAGACAGTTACTGACAAACAGTTCATCAACAGACAACCAACAGTCAGTAACTGTACTACTACAAAGGACACCTATGTGGGCAGGTACACTTGATAAAACAGCCAATGAGTGCAGGTATAAGGCAAGTGTACCTAACAAACCGGCAACTCAGAGTCTGAACAAGTGTTGTTCTAAAATCACTGCACCTGCTTTACTCTCAGGGCTTGGTGGGAATTTCCCAGGAGTGAGTGGTACACCGATGACGTTCCTCAGCCATGACGGACTCGCCTCCCTATGTTCTCTCTGAGCTGAGCGCTTAGAGCTGTGCTGCAACTTCACCTGTTCACCTGTGCCCTTATCCTCAGCGCTTTTCCTCCTTTTAAGAGGAGGTTCTTTATCAGAGCGGTCCATTCGCCCAGCAGAGAGATGAAAACCCCCTCGGGGAGCGGCGTTGGGTAATACTCCGGGACGCCTCCACTCGTTCCAGCTATAGGTGGAGTGTTTTTTACTGGTGGTGTGGCACTGGAGCTGTCGCTGGCATGAGTGACTGACCAACCATGAACACCTGGGCTGATGCCAGAGTCTCCATAGACTAACAACAGTCTGAGCAGAGCCCACTGCGCTCAGGGGACGGACTAACATGGATCGACTGCGAAAAAGAAAAAGAGAAAGAGAAGAATCTCAGCAAGCACCAAGCACTTTGCCTACTGGGTTAACATCAACACCATTACGATACATAGAGCGACATGTTATAGAGAATATAGGAAGTGAAACAGAGCCTATTACCAATGGGGTAACGTTCACGACTAACTTCTATTATTTAAATCAAAGCTGCACATTACAGCCACAAATTTAGGTTGCTAAGCAGTAAAAGAAGTAAATATTTTACTGTTTTTTCTTTTTTAAACTGAGAGAAGCTACAAGAGAGGACGAAAAGTTTTGGCCAGTCAGCGATTCCATAGGCACCAAATATTTTCACTATTCTCACATTTATTGTCAAATGACTGGTGCGGGGAATGAAATTAGGAATCACTGCCATCCTCTAGGTCACCAATATCACAAAATTACTACCAGAGGTGGAAAATTATTGAGGACTGTACTTAAGTATTACATCTGAAGATTTGTACTTTACTTAGATATTACTGAAATTGATTAGTCAATTATTTTCAAAAAAAAAAAATCCTTTTTACTCATTACCTATGTTTTCATTTATACCTTCAAAGTACACAGTACAGATTTCAATGACCAGGAGATTTTGTTTCTTTTCTCATGCCAATCAGTTAAGATGCTGCACATTTTAATATATTGTTTTTATTAAAACACCCGACCAAATTCTGCACTGAAAAAAAAATTATGATGGTTCATATTTGTCTGAGGACTAGTGGCAACAATGAGCATCTTATCTGTTAAAACATTTACTTTTTTACTTCAATTCATTTGAGTTTAAATTAAGATGCGCTACATGGCCGAAAGACTGTAGACACCCCTCCTACTTATTGAGCACAGGTGTTTCAGCCACACAGGTGTATAAAATCAAGCACAAAGCTGTATCTCCATAGACTAACACTGGCAGCAGAATGGCTCATACTGTTTTGATACTCAAAATGGCACTGTGATTGGATGCCACCTTTACCACCAGTCAGTTTGTGAAATTTCTGCCCTGCTAGATCTGCCCCAGTCAACTGTAAGTGCTATTATGGTGAAATGGAAGCGCCTAGGAGCAACAACAGCTCAGCCACAAAGCAGCAGACCACACAAACTTGCAGTACGTGGCCACTGAGCAGGTAAAAATCGCCTATCCAGGAGAACACTTTTTTACCAGAATGCACAGTGCCAACAGTAAAGTTCCAGTGAAGGGTGATGTTAATGCTACAGCATATAGAGATAATGTACACAATTATATCGCTGCTGTTGGAACAAAACCTCGCATCTCCATTTTTGTTTTTAACATAATTTGAAAATGCCTGTTTCCCTTTACACTGTGTGTAAATTTCATGATGAACGGACCTAAAATGACCTGGAAAAACGTCTGGTTCCATTGACTTACATTAAAAGTAGAGTGTGTTTTTTCCTTCTCCTGTAAAGTTACCATTCTGGAGACACGAGGTTTCGATCCGGCAACAGCGACATGCTTCCAACTTTGCGTCAGCAGTGGACTGTGCCAGGTGTGACCTCGTGTGAGGTCAGTGCCAGACCTCACAAATGCTCTTTGAACTCTTTGAGCACAAATTCACAAAGAAACACTATAAAGTGTTGTAGAAAGCCTTCCCAGAAAAGTCCGGGCTGTTTAAGCCCTATAAGGGGAGCAAGGTCATATAGGTGTGATGGGCAGGCGTCCACCTACTTTTGGCCATATAGTGCACATTTTTGGCTGCATACTTTCAGTTTTACTTGACTGAAAGGTTGAAAATTTGTACTAGTAAACATTTGATGCAGCACCCAAAGTTTCTCTCATGTACAGAGAGTCTCTCTCTCTCTCTCTCTCTCTCTCATCCTCCAGTAAAACGCAACCCAATCTACCAAATCAGACCTGTCTGACTGGACCATGGCTAAAGAGACCACGTCCACAGTTCTAATGCAGTGTAAACGTATTTTAAACAGTCTGGACACAAACCTAAGAGGTCATATCGGTGGCTCAGTTAATTCTGGTGGTGGCAGCTGCTCCTACAGAACTGGTCACACGTAGGTCAAGCAATGTGAGTAGCGCTTACAGCGTGGTGAAAGGACGAACTAAAGAGAAGACAACTCATATTAGGCTAAATTAAGCACAATTAAACACACAATTAAAGGAGAAGGGTGAATGGAGGCACGTTAGCTTCCATGCTAACACAGCAGAGCTTACTTCGCGGCTGCAACTGGAGCGGCATAGTTTGTGTTCGGCTGTCAAAACATAGAAATAAGTCTTCCTCAAAAAGCAGCGAATGATCCCATCATTTAAGCTTAATCCTACTGAGACAGTCTTCAAATGCAACGGATTAAGCGCAGTCCTGATGAACAACTGGGACCTGAGCTAGCGTTAGCTGGCTGGCTAGCTAGTAAAACCAAAACAGCGAAGAGGCGCTCAGATTTGGCGTCATTACGGAGAAGCGAATCCGCCATGTTGGAGCGGTCAAGACCTGCTTGTGAACTAATTCACTAGTATTGAGAGACGAAGAGCCTCAGGATTAAATCAGCCGCAAATTCCTTACTACTCAACCGATTTTCACCAAATCTGTTTTGTTATAATCCTCAGACACAGATTAATCCAGGCTGCACGGATCTGCTCTCGGTAGCTTTTATTTCTTTAATAACTGATCATGATGATTGGCCGTCCGGACCAGCAGGACAGTATTCAGTCTGCACCTGACGCTCAAAACAGAGTTTAGCATGAGAAACACAATCAGACACATCAGCAAATCCATCAATGTGTGAATCACTTCTAATCTTAATTCATAAAAATAAAATAAACCCCCAAAACACAGTACGAAGGACGAAGCTAAAATTGGCTTCCTATTCGCCAGCTTCTTGTTCGAGTCACTTAGTCACTTTTTGGTGCCTGAAGCTGCACCATTTAAGGTGGAACGGGAAAGGTCAAACAAGAAACTGGCAAATAAGGAGCCAACTTCAGGTTCATGTACGAAGGTTAATGTTAATCTATTATGAGTATCTACACGGATTAAGGAATGCTATAACTACAAGCTTTAACCATCGTTGTAAACAAATAACTACTATATAAAGTTTAGATCCCCTGAATAGACTATTAAATGAAATAAGCTGAATATAAAACCAGAGGAAAAACAATCACATCAACAGGTTATCTGTGCCTCATTAACCACACAGCCATATCTACATAAACATCACACAAACAATACGCATCACACAGACATGAGTGTGGATCACTGCGTTCCCTCCGTTATATAATCCTGTCCCCCTTTCTGAGTGTAATATTCTTGAAATAGTGTAATTTTGGACAGTAACTTTATTAAACTGCTGCTCTGTAATGGTACTGAATGCAGTCCAGTAGCGATGTTGACCGCCCCAAAATGGCGGTGCCGTTGACGTGCCTGGCTGGACCCAAAACGGTATCTAGGTCTGTATATCTATGGTTGAGACGAGTGATGGCGAATGAGCCGGCTAAGTGGCTAATTTTGTGTAAAAATGCTGTTTATATACTTCCAATCCTCTTGTCACTGTTTGTAGCCTAACAGACGGGTTTTCTACGACTTTAGAACAACAAAGTCTTGAGTAACACGACACGACAAAGTGTAGTTTTGACCGTATTGCAGCTCCGCAGCACTGGAGGCTGCTCTCTTCTACAGCTAACACAGTTTAGCGTTACTTACCTGGCAAGAGTCTCAGATATTAGTGATTATCTCTGAGGGTTTTCCTCAGATGGTTCCTCTGGTGCGACTGCGATGTCATAACACCACAGACCTGCTCCCAAAATGCTTCAACACACTGTTCGCATGATGTAGACAGACATTTGGGTCGGTCCGAGCTGCACTGCAGAAAAAGCGTTTCAGTGAAGGGGTTTCAGCTTAAGGGTGTGAAAAAGCGAGTAAAACCTGAGGTTATTAAAAGAGAACTCCACAAGTCAGTGTTTTCAAAACCTCTACATACCGGCTAAGATGTAAACAAAGCCGTTCAGAGCGGTTTGGTGTGAAATGCTTCGTTCTAGAGAAATTTAAAGAGCCAGAATTGTTTACAGTGGTGGTGATAGGAACCAGACGTCTGAGGAGTGTAACGCCTCTGAGAGCTCCATTACAGAGAGTTATTACACAACTTATTAATATATTTATTTGAATCCATTCATGGTGGAGGCGTACATGCAGGGTGTTGTGAGGCAAAATAGTCACCCTACTTCAATATATATATATATATATACAGCGATCAGGCATAACATTGTGACCACCTTCTTGTTCCTACACTCATTGTCCATTTTATCAGTTGTGTAGCGCTGGTCTGAGTGGATCAGACACAGCAGTGCTGCTGGAGTTTTTAAACACTGTCCGCTCACTGTCCACTCTATTACCTTGTCAGTCCACCTTGTAGATGTGAGTTCAGAGACGATAGCTCATCTGCTGCTGCACAGTTTGTGTTGGTCATCCTCTAGTCCTTCATCAGTGGTCACAGGACGCTGCCCACAGGACGCTGTTGGCTGGATATTTTTGGTTGGTGGACTATTCTCAGTCCAGCAGTGACAGTGAGGTGCTTAAAAACTCCAGCAGCACTGCTGTGTCTGATCTACTCAGACCAGCGCAACACACACTAACACAACACCACCACGTCAGTGTCACTGCAGTGCTGAGAATGATCCACCACCCAAATAGTACCTGCTCTGTGAGGGTCCATGGGGGTCCTGACCACTGAAGAACAGGGTAAAAGGGGGCTAACAAAGTATCAGAGAAACAGATATTTTTCAGATTTTTCACCTTCATAAATATGACATGTACAAACTGGTGTAGGTTCACTAGTGATTTTGGACAGTAAATAAAATGTTGTGCTGTAAACATAATACCCAGCCACTACCATGTCTTGGGGTGTCTTAAGACATGTCTAAAGACACATTATGAAGATGTCTTAAGACACCTTGAGGCGTGTCTTAAGAAATGAAGATGTGTCTTTAAGGCATGTTTATAGACACGGATCTTAAGATGTATTGACTATAATAACATCCCAAGATGTCTCAAGATGTAGGATGCATAATATTTGTTTTTAAAATTTCCCTAAAAATATTTTTTTAAATAAATCTTTTACTTTTAAATAGTTTATATTAAAATTATTAATATTAAAATGTAAACATTATGCATTATTTATAGCAGGAATTCTAGTAAAGAATTAATTATATTACAAACATTATATACATTAGTACATACTACAGTGATACATTTCAGAACAAATTTACAATAAAAGTAATAATAATAATAATAATAATAATAATAATAATAAGACACATGGTTCCCAGTCTGTACTTTCTCTACAATGAGCCATTTCATACCAAACCACTAAATGACTTTGTTTACATCACAATGACAGAATTATTAAAAAATTTAAAACAAATTTGGAATTCCCCTTTAAGTGTTTCTGTTGCATTAGAAAAGTTTATGGAATTAGTGATATGATGAAAATTTATTTTTGACTTCAGACCAAACCTTCAACATGGCGGTGGTAGTGTGAGGGAAGACTGATTGAGAGAAGGAGGAGAACTCTGAGAACTTGGGCTGGAGTTCTGGGCAGCTTCTGCCAGTGGTTAGAAGGCCGGACCCCCTCATAGCTGTAGTAGGACTGATGCAGGACTGAGGAACAGGGCGGAGACGGGGTGGCGGTGAGGATTGCTAACACTTTGTCACAGGAACAGAAGGTGAGGATGTGAATTGATGGGGTGTTAGATTGGAAGAAGGAGGGGTTTCAGCCATGCTCCTCCCCCCAAACTTCAGTTATAACATAACTACATATTGTGTTCCAGTTTTCTTGTGCTTCTGTTAAAAGGCAACCATTTGAAAATTAATCATTTTACTACAGATAATCAACCAGTTCAAGCTCTAATACCCTTTAATACCTGGATTATCCAAATTTATGCCTAATTTAAAATGTTTAAGACTTTCACAGTGGCTTGGTGTGAAATGCTCTGTTCTAGAGAAACTTACTGAGTCAGAATTGTTCACAGTGGTGGTGATAGGAACCCGACATCTGGAGAGTTTACTGTCTCCAAAAGGTCCCTCACAGAAAGCTGTTTCATAAAATGGTTGTGAATATGCTGCCTGATGCTTGGTGCTTTGTTTAATGATAGTTTTGAGATAAGAGTTTGATGTTTTTTTTTTTTATGCATTCATGACAGAGAGGTACCAACAGGCAAAATAGTCCCTAAAGATAACTTTTTTCCAGATTTATCACTATTTTACCATTAATATTACATGTAACACGAAAAAGACACATATAGGTTAACTGGTTGTTGTGGATACTGAATAATAAACTCACTGTTATCCTGAATAACCTACTGGTCAGACAGCGGAGCACCTTTAGCAACAGACTCATTCAGCTCCGCAGTAGTGAGGAACGGTACAGGAGATTGTTTGTACCGACAGTGATCGCACTGTACAGAACCTCGGTCACTGCGCCGGGACATTACTGTATACTGAGCCGCTCATATTGCACTGCCACTTTGTGTATTTTATTTATTTATTTATTTTTTGTCTACTAATATTGCACATTGCACTGTCACTTTGTTTATACATCCATAAATGTCAAATTGTTAAATGTAAACTATACAACTTAACATTTATTGCTACAGTCCGTAGTCAGTAGCTCATTCACTGGAGGGACAGGCACCACTGTATTGTACTGCACATTACTCTTATTGTTTTAGTATATTTTATTCTATTATTATCTCTACTTTCTTTTTATAGATTTGTAAATAGTGTATGGCAATACATTGCTCCTGTTTATTTTTGTCTGTCTGTCTGTCTATCTATCTATAAAATAGCTATATTTACAAGGTACACTCTCAGAAAAAAGGTACTAAACTGTCTCTGGGTCAGTTCCCCTCTTGTCACTGGGGTGGAACTCTCAAGTCTCCATCTCAGCACCTTTAGTCAGGGAACATAACTGAACCATAATCCACTGAATGATATGTTCTAAGCTGTACTGACTCCACACACCCCGTCTCGTCTCCAGGCTTTTATTTTACTGTTCTGTTTAAAACATTCGGTTATGAAAAGGTACAAATACGAACTTTTCACCTGGAGAAACTTATTTAAGGTTCACAATCAGACCTTAAAACCACTGTTGGAGCTTTGAGGGAACATTTACACTGTTTGTACCTTGATGAATGAAAATGTACCTGAACAGAACCTTCATTTCAGACATTGTGAGTTCGATTCCTGTCACCACCACTGTAAAGCGTCTCTCTTCCATGCACCATTCCACATCAAACCACTTAGAATGACTGTTTATGTCTCAATTATTGAGTTATAGATAAATAACTGTAATTTCCCTTTAATTGCATGTTGTTTTTTAAAAAACAACATAAGGCAGTGATTTAATTTCAGCTCACATTCTCGTCA